AAAAAAAAAAAAAAAAAAAGTATGTACTCAAGGTGCATATATTTTCCTAGCAAATTCATGGAGATGAGTGAGACTCTCCAGGTAATAGATATATTAAGAGAGAAGAAAGCCTAATTCTGGGGATCAGCATTTGACAAGCAAAGAAAGAGAAATATCAATGAAATGATATAATGATATCTTCAGTTATATTTCCCAGAAACATACTAAGATGAGGATTTGTGTTCAAAAAAGTTACTAAGAAAATGCTTAGTCTGGGCTACATAGTGAGTTCAAGGCCAAGCTAAATCACATAGTGATACCCTGTCTCAAAACAAACAAACAAAAAAACTATCCGGGCTGACAGTGTGGCTCAGTGGCAGAGTACCTGGTTTGCATGCACGTAGCCCTGGGTTCACTTCTCTGCCTAGAGTGGGGGTTCTATCAAGAGAAACTAGTAAGGGAGTGGGAGGAGAGGAAGCCAACCAAGCACATGGTACGAAGGAGAGAGTAGTTCCCTTGGATTCCACAAGGGACCCCTGGAAATAAGTTATGCCTCAGGTTTATCCAGAAACAAGGGAGCTGCGTCTTTTGTGCACTTAATACCCCTCAGCCACTGGGCAAGCAAGGGCCACCCCTGGGAGATCTTAACTCCCAGCCTCTCTGTCAAAGTAAAGCTGTCAGTAGCATGAGGGTGTTCCTCAAGATACATAAATACTCAAATAAAAATTTTAAGTTCTAACTGTTGAAAAGAAAGCCAGAAATGAAAGGCAATATGGGAGTATAAGTTGTGTATGTGTGTGTGCACACCTGTATGTGTGTCTGTATGTGTTGGGGAAAATAGGCAAATACACATTACCAGTGTTATAGTTTGTGTCTAGATGTCCTCCCCAAAGCCTCATGCAGTCATGGGGGTGGACTTTTCAGAGGTAGCTGAGTCTACGAGAGCTTGTGATTGATTCATGGTCCAATGCTGGGCTTATGGGTGTGAGTACTACACCCGCCCTAGGGCAGGTAGCCTGCATACAATATAAGGGACAGAAAGAGGTTTGTCCCCTCTTGCTGCTTTTGGTATCTTTCACCACCATGAACTGTTGCCCCTTTGCCATACTACCCTGCCTTGGAGCCAGCTGATTATGGACTGAAACATTTACAGACCATGAGCTAAATAAACCTTTCCTGTTTTAACTTTGGTTGTTGGATATTTTGTCCCAGCAACAAAAAAAGTAACTAAGATAAAAGGATCCATGGTCTTCTTGCCTGAACCTCCCGAGTCCTGGGATTGTAGATGTGTGCCACTGTGACCAGGTCACTACTGCTCTTCATCTGTGCTGAGTCCTTCTGGTGCTGTCCTGGAGTCTTCAGTTTGTGACGACCCAGAGCCTGAGTAGCCAGCCCAGACCTTTTTTGTTTTT